CGATATTAAGGTCCTTTCCAACCCAAAGCATTCTATGCTGCTAAGCAGAGCAGAGTCAGTCACTGCTGAAGGGCTCAGGAGCTGGAGGAAGCACATCATCCCTCCACAGCTTCTGCACAGAGAGGGGAGCAATAAAGTGATTTAGGCAGCAATTAGTATGTGTTGGAAGAGCAAGAGAGACTCACGATGAGGAGCTGTCCCCACAGTCACATCACACCAAAGAAAAGTGCTCCCCATGGTCAGTCTCCTGCTGCCTCACTGGCTCCGTCCCTGGCAGTGTTCAAGGCCAGGCTGGACAGAGCCTTGGGTGACATGGTCTAGTGTGAGGCGTCCCTGCCCATGGCAGGGGGTTGGAACTGCATGATCTTAAGACCTTTTCCAACCCAAACTGTTCTATGGCTCTATCCTCTCCCTAAACCTCCTGTTCTCTCCTGCTAGCTTAGCACCTGGCTCCTGGCACGGGTGCCAAATCCAGGCTTGGAGACGCCGGGCACTGCTCAGCTGGGGTTTGTGTTTGTTATCCTGCACATTTGCATGGGGAGGATTTGGGGAAAAACCCAGATGTACAACGCTGAGCAGAACAGGCGCTAATCCCTGCTCCAGGCTCAGCTCCGGCAGCTTTACCCTGCTGAGGCAGGGCAGGCACCCGGGAGTCCCCCTCTGCCCTGGAGTTTGGGGTGAGCTGAGGGTCCCCATCACTGCCCGGGAGCCAGGGCTGCTGGCGGCAGAGGACGCAAATGTCATGGAAACAGCATCTGCTCAGCCTGGCCCCCCAGGAGGCACCGGACCTCGCAGCATCACCCGCTGCCATTCATTCCTAATGGGGTTCAGTGCCTTTGTCTCCATGGTGCCCCCAGAGCAGCAGCAAGCACTCGGCTCCCCACAGCCCTTGGTCAGGCAGGGACAAGCCACACGTCTCCTGGTCCATGTCCCTGCGGCTCCAGCATGCAGGACCCTCTCACAGGGACTGTAAACACAGTTGGATGAACAAGAAGTTATGGAGTTCAGTCCATAACTGTTTCCATAGGCTGCTTCCTCTGTCCCAGCACCTTTTGACTCAAGAGGAGTTGGGAAGGGAGGAGCAGGGACAGGTCCAGGCTGGGCGAGGGCAAGCCCTGGAGGGCATGATCCATCACGCAGACCATTGGCAGCCTCCTTCCCCCTGCCCGAGCTGGAGCAGCATCCCCAGGACAGCCTCGCTGCCTGAGCAATGCAGCAGCCACAGGGAATGGAGCATCTTCCCCAGGGACAGGGGGGACCTGGGGTCAGGGTCCGGCTGAGGGACTTGGTGGGGTCCCAGGAGCACCCCAGAGCAGTGGGTACAAGGCAGGAGAGCAGCACAGTGCTCTCTGCTTTCCTCTACTCACAGCTGCCGGAGGGCAGAGGGAATGGATATGGGATGCGGAGGATGGGGTGCTGGATAAAGCGGTCAGGTCTGAGGCACTGCCATGGGTCTGCAGCCCCCAGTGCTCTGGGGAACCAGCTGCTGTGCAAGACCAGCCACAAGCGCCATCCTGCTCCTCCGGCAGTGCCAGCATGGTGTCAGCAGGGTCCCAAACCTGTGTCTGTCCTCCGAGGCGCCAGCAGCATCCTGCCCTACCAAGTGCTACGGAGCTCGGCGCCAGCCTACGGTGTGTCCTCACACTGGCACTGCCACGAAAGGTGGAGCCAGGCCACAGGCCACCCTCATTGATGGGAGCAGTGGAACAGGACATCCCAGTAGCCACATCCAAGCTCCCTGGTCCGTGGCGCACACATCCTGCTCACAGGACCATGCACATCTGGGATGTGGCAGGCGCTCAGGACTCCACCAAGTTACTAGTGTTGGCACCACAGCAGGACTCAAAACTGCTGTGCTGAGCGAGGGAACCAGCCTCACATGCACCCCGAACCCACACTCGTCTCCAAACAAGCACCAGCTCCACCGTGCACAGCTAGGAATGCTCAGCTGCCCTCTGGGAATGCTGGCCAAGCAGCAGGCAGGCAGGGAGCGTGGCAGGCTCCAGCCAATGGAGACATGACGCCATCCCTTCTCTCTCCAGGGAGGAGAGGAGGGGGCAAACTGCATCCTCCAGGCTCAGGTGCACCAGTGCTGGTAAAAGCTAATTTCAATGCAGAAGGGAACCTTTACATTTGTCATTACTATTCATGCCACCATCAGGCTAAACACAGCGAGTTAACCCTTTGGATGAGGGATAACAGTGGATGTTTCACGGAGGGGGGAATAATGCAGCTTTCCTCCTGGAAAAGTGCTTCCCACAGTGGTTCAGCCCTGGAGGAGTTTGAGAGGGAGCTGGGGTAGGTTTTCTCCTGCCTAATCTCACCCAGCTCTGAGCTGGGGCAGAGGAGCAGCATGGTGGGGACAGGGTGGTCAGACATGATGGGGACATGCCACCAGGAGACCCTCCAGGTGCTCCTGATGGCAGGACCTGACCATCAACGGGCACATTACCCCACCAACACCCTCTGCCACAAGCAGCAGTCACACAGAGCTCCGAGTTACCTGTCCCCAGGACAGAGTCCCATAGTCCTGGCAAAGGGACCCTCCCCAGCCCTGCGGTGCCTGACACTCTCCTCTCCCCTCTACAGTTCTCCAAGGAGAAATACATCCTCGACTCATCGCCGGAGAAGCTTCACAAGGAGCTGGAAGAGGAGCTGAAGCTGAGCAGCACCGACCTGCGCAGCCACGCTTGGTACCACGGCCGCATCCCGCGGGAGGTGAGCAGGGGAAGGCGGGTGGCTCCAGGCACCCTTTGCTTGGGCTGCTTATGGAGAGCACCCCCCGACCACACAGAACCAGCCTGTCCTGCTGGGCAGCCTCTGAGCTGCCTGGTTTTGCTGTGGGAAATGCCTTCCTATGGCTTAGGGGCAAGGGGAACAAGCCAGTGCTCCAAATAACACCCTAACGGAGCATCCACCAGCATGGCCGTGCCTGAGCTGCTGCCCTGCTCCCTTCCAGGTATCAGAGAGCCTCGTGCAGAGGAATGGCGACTTCCTCATCCGGGACTCCCTCACCAGCCTGGGTGACTACGTGCTGACGTGCCGCTGGCGCAACGAGCCCCTCCACTTCAAGATCAACAAGGCAACGGTGAAACCCAGCGAGGGCCATACCCGTGTCCAGTACCTCTTTGAGCAGGAGAGCTTTGACAACGTGCCCGCCCTCGTCCGCTTCTACGTGGGCAACCGCAAAGCCATCTCGGAGCAGAGCGGGGCCATCATCTACTGCCCCATCAACCGCACCTTCCCCCTGCGCTACCTGGAAGCCAGCTATGGGCTGGCCAACGGGAAGCATGGGGGATCCCACAGCCCCGCCACCCAGAAAGGGGGGCACATCAAGAGGAGGAGCATCACCATGACCGATGGGCTAACAGCAGACAAGATCACCAGAGCTGAGGGGTGCCCGACCAGGTGAGCATCATCCCAGCTTAGCCGGGCAGAGGAGCAGCCCCTGGGAAAGAGGAGAAGCCATGCTCAGTCTCTGCTCCCAGTGGACAGGGGTTTGGGAGCAGGGATGGAAAAGAGAGGCCAGCAAAGGTATGGGGGGAAGGACCGGTACCCAGCTAGAGCTGAGGCTTTCTCCCAGGCTGGCTGCCAGCCACACTGAGCTACCCCAGCAGACACGACATTAGCATGCCAGGCCAGAAGCCAGAGAGTGTTTTACAATCACCCAGGCCAGGATTACCGGCGTGTCAGGGCTTGTCAAAGCCGAGGAGCTGAGCTTTCCCAGGCAGATGCAAGAGGAGAGCCAGTCGCAGCCACCAAGAGGGCATTCGTTGTTTTTGCAGGGCCCTTTTAGTTTTAGAGCCCTTCCCATTCAGCTGGAGCATTTGCATCAGCCAGCAGAGCTGAAAGCCTGATGGGCAGGAGGAGATGAATGGAGCTGTGCTGATGGGGGTCTGCACAGCCACCAGATCACAGCCTCCACATGGCTGAGCTGCTCACGTTAACCTTGGAGCATCTCCAGAGGCGGAGAAGGAGATTTCCTTTGCATGGCTTGCATTTGGCAGCCCCGAGCTGCTCAGAGCCCAGCAGGGAGGGCAGAGCCACACATACACCCTCACACTGAGCAGCCAAAGGGGTCCCATCTGCGCCTGCCTCCCCAGTGGGACACAGCCCAGCCCATCCCATAGCCTGTCAGCCCAAGGGCAGGGTGAGAACGCACCAGCAGGAAACAGGCAAACGACTGTTATGGCAGGGAAAAGGAAAACGCTCAGACTTCCAGGAGAGCATATGTGCTTCCAGAAGAAGAGCCCAGATCCATCAGTCTTTCCTCATCACTCCCGTTTTCCCTAAACCCCTTATCCCTGCACTGCTCTCCCATCCTGCTTCCACCACAGAGGCTCAGCACTCAAGACTGAACATGTCACAGCAGCCCAGCCCTCACCCGTGGCAGTGAATTACCTGCCATGCCACCTTGCAACCCTCCCTGCACTCAGCTACCCCCTGACACAGCATCTTGTGACACACAGTGTTTGCATTAGGCCACAACTGCTGCTTCTCCAGCCCAAGAATACAGCTCCTTATGCATGTGTGCTGCAGGTCACCAACCCAGGCACCTCACCACCTCAACCAGATGCTTGCTGGGCTCCAGGTCCAGCTTTCAGGCACTTTCCACCTCTCCTAAGCTTTGGGTCAGAGCAACAGCTCATCAAACCATCCCAGCACGGCTCTCAGGTGGAAATAAAGCAATGCATCCAACATCAGATACCACTTGCAGTACGACTTTAGAAAACCACCCCCAGACTTCTTTGCTAGAGCCCCTTCCCCACAGCACCCTGGAGCCATCCCTTCCCATGTACCTTAGCATCAGGACACCCATTCCCAGTGATTCACACAACCAAACTCCCCAAAGGAAGGGCTGTCTCTGCTTTATATAGGTGCCGACCCCTTCTGCTCCCAGCTGCCTGCAGGGACTTGCTCCAGCTGACCTCGTTATGGGTTCAGCTCGTTATGGGTAGTTGTGGAAGGAGGTGATGGGGCAGCAAACCCTCACCCCTTGCCTGGCCCCTGTTTGCAGGAACTAACCTGTCCCACTTACCCCCTCCCCAGCGTGTCCCTGCCGCACCACAGAGACATCATTCGCAACTGTGCCGTCAGCGTGGACCAGATCCAGGACCTGCACTCCCCGATGTCCCCCATCTCCGAGAACCCAGCATCACCTGCCTACAGCACGGGTAGGCATCGCCCCTGCATCCCACCGGGGACAGCGCGGGCATGGGTCAGGCTGGGCTTGGCACGGGTGTGACGCAGGGACCTGGTGGGGGACAGTGCTGGCTGTAAAGACAAGCCCCAGTGCAAGCAAAACCCCATCTGGTTCTTTGCATGGCAAAGAACTGTCCTGCAGAGGGCCCGAGCTGGGGATGGGACTGGCTGCTGC